TTAATTTCTATAAATTGGCTTAGTATAGCATAGAACCATTAGTAGAGTCCCCAATGAGGAACGACTATGCTCAATTAGCAATGGTCTGAGGGATTAATTTCGTACCATCGCTACACGACAAGCATTGTTAACTTTATATCACGTTTACCCATATATATATGTTGGTGGAGACCCCCCGTGAGGATAGACTTCGCTACACTAATAGCGACAAATGAGATTAGCTTTTTAACTATCTGCAGACAGCAGGCGTTATCTACATTATATAAGCTCACTGTTGTGGATATTCTAGATTAGCTTAATGTAACACATTGATGGAGTTCCCAATGAGGACAGACTACACTACACTAACAGTGTTCTATGAGTTTAGATTTTTAAATATATGTACAGAACAGGCGTTATCAACATTATATAATGTATACTTTAAATATTTTGGATCAGCTTAGTATAGCAACACATTGATGGAGTTCCCAGTGAGGATCGACTACGCTACACAAGTAGTGGTATGTGGGATTACATTTCTTCCTTACACATCTTTTTCTATTATCGTCATATCAACAAACTCACTTCTGTAGATATTTCCTTATAAGAAAACATTCGGCATTCGTGGGCAAATTTGAGAAATCATTATTTTATAATATTGTAATTAATATTTATATCAATTTGGGACTAATTTATACATTCAGTCAGTTATGTGTTACGAGTAATACACGCTTAGGCGATCATGTATCTTTCGATACATGACTAATGAGGCAGATTTTTTTCCCGCAGTAGGTTACCATTTCTTTCTGTGGTAGACCAGTTGCCATCCAAGGCTATAGAACCCGGTCTGTCCTGCTATTTACTCATAGCAAGAGTTTTCATATCTTTCGATACACGAAGAAGAGGATTCATACCTTTCGATACATGACTGACGAGGCAGATTTTTTCCCGCAGTAGGTTAGCATTTCTTTTTGTGGTTGACCAGTTGCCATCCAAGGCTATAGAACCCGGTCTGTCCTGCTATTTACTCATAGCTGGAGGGAAATGAAGAGAGATTATACCTTTCCCAGGGATATTAGCACGTAAGTGAATGCAATGGATTCGATTGGATTTCGAACTCGTCTCTCCGCATCTTCAATCTCTTTAAAGTAAGGTGGAGTAATAGATAGCGGTTCAGATTGAAGATTACGTTATGTGGGAGATATTTTTGGGTGGTATTTCTAGGAGGGATTTCTGTCGCACACTGCGTAACGTTTATTCCTGCATAGCCTGAAGATCCATTGAATAGCGTGTATTATTCTTGCATCTATGTTGAAATATGCACATAACGTTGTTCTGGGAATAGCAAAATATACCACTAGACTGCTGCATTCTGCAGTTACGTTAAAAATAAGCGTTCAAAATCATTAGTCTCTAAATAAACTTAACCTTTCGTAACATTCGGTTTAAAAGTGCAATTTTCCTCAATCGATTACTCAGATATATTTGCCAGTTTGTCCAAACATTGACGCGTGGTATGGTTTATAGAGTAAACAACGTAAGATTAATTCAATCTGAACGTTTTGCGAGACCAGCAACCAGATGCTTCTTATTATAAGAGTGTATACCATTTGGACTAATGCTCTGAAGTGAAATGACATTTTCCGAACTGCTGGTATCTCGTTTTCAAAATAACAACCTTATGCTAATTTCGTCTTGTTTGCTATTAGAATGAGTTAAGTGCGTACAAAAAGCTCGTATATATTTAGCAGACTTTGATGTGTCGTGCTAAGTGTTTTTTACAAGTCAACGCTTTTTGGAGTATTTTTTTTTTACTTAACTAAGATCACTGAAATGTCATGTAGTATCAGTCCTCTTTTATAGCAGTGAACATTGGACAATCTCACAGAGTAAGAAGAGATTTGAAGCAACAGGAATCTGGTTCTTCAGATAGATACTCAGAACACTATAGACAGAAGATATGAGTAATGTCAACAAAAAGGACACTCAGTAAGAGACAGTTGAAATTTCTGGAGACCATAATGAGGAAAGAGGGCTTGTAAAATCTGATACTCACAGGACCAATTGAAAGCAAGAGCTGCCAGAGGTAAGCAACACGCAACCTATTTTGCGAGCTTTAAACAATGGATGGCGCATCAGGGTTTGGGAGGGATGACAGAAAGACAAAAATTATTAAGAGTTACAAATTGACAGGAAATCGTGGAGAGCCATGACCGCCACCGAACTGAAGTGATGTGACTTACAGAAGAAGAAGAATATTTCTCGTCGAAAAACATTGGATATATATATATATATATATATATATATATATATATATATATATATATATATATATATATACACGTTTCATTAAATAATATAGACAAGTTTAATTACATTATCGTTAAACGAAGAAAGAAATTCACAATATTGATCCATATTTTTTTAATACAATCTAAGATTTATATATATATATATATATATATAATTCTGTATGAGCAGTACTTAGTGAAAAGTGCTCAATATCAGTGATAGAGCTAAT